GGGGGGAGCTGCTTGTGAGGAGATTCAACATGTGAGCTGTCACCAGCCTCATACTGTCTTCTGAATCTCAGCTCACATGCTTAATCTGGTCACACAGTCACAGAGGATGCAACTCCTACATTTGAAATGTTTCAATGTCTGTGTAGATTGTTGTAAACTTGATGTTTGTTGTAGATTTGTTGTAAGTAGTTTTGATCATTCAGAGCATTGCAGGGGAGATTACAAGCAGTGAAGCTGTCACAGTGTGTATAGTGAGGAGGGGGGAGGAGGCAGCTGTGTGCAGTGGGAGATGATTCCTCTCTTCCTCATGGGAGTTGTAGGCAAGGAAAGATGTGCAGGTGACCAGAATCAACATCCACGGCTCTTACTAAGGGACAGGAAGTGTGAGAGGAGAGAAGAGCAGCGGGAGCGAGCACAGCAGACTTTCTAAAGGGATTAAAATAGTAAATCTTTATTTTAAAACATCAATAAACATGGCTTTGGAGAATGTTCATTATCTAGATGTGTACAGGGAGAAAAAAGCTGAGGGTTTTTGTGTTGCTTTAAGGTTTACATATACACTATATTGCCAAAAGTATGGGGACGCCTGCCTTTACACACACAAGAACTTTAATGGCATCCCAGTCTTAGTCCGTAGGGTTCAATATTGAGTTGGCCCACCCTTTGTCGCTATAACAGCTTCAACTCTTCTGGGAAGGCGTCCACAAGGTTTAGGAGTGTGTCTATGGGAATGTTTGACCATTCTTCCAGAAGCGCATTTGTGAGGTCAGGTACTGATGTTGGACGAGAAGGCCGTGCTCGCAGTCTCTGTTCTAATTCATCCCAAAGGTGTTCTATCGGGTTGAGGTCAGGACTCAGGCAAGGCCAGTCAAGTTCCTCCACCCCAAACTCGCTCAGCCATGTCTTATGGACCTTGCTTTGTGCACTGGTGCACAGTCATGTTGGACAGGAAGGGGCCATCCCCAAACTGTTTCCACAAAGTTGGGAGCATGATATTGTCCAAAATGTCTTTGTATGCTGAAGCCTTAAGAGTTATCTTCACTGGAACTAAAGGGCCAAGCCCAGCCCCTGAAAAACAGCCCCACACCATGATCCCCCCTCCACCAAACTTTACTCTTGGCACAATGCAGTCAGGCAAGTACCATTCTCCTGGCAACCACCAAACCCAGACACATCCATCGAATGCGTGATTCGTCACCAGGGCCGGCCTTAGGGGTGGGCGAGCAGTGCGGCCGCACAGGGCGCCATGGCAACAAGGGCGCCGTGCGGCTGTCACAGCTCGTCCTGGGGGCGGGCTCTCTCCCCCCCCCCCACGTGGGGCGG